ACCCAGTAGTCATTCAGGAGCAGGTTGTTCAGTTTCCATGTAGTTGAGCGGTTTTTATTGAGTTTCTTAGTTCTAAGTTCTAGTTTAATTTCACTGTGGTCTGAGAGACAGTTTGCTATAATTTCTGTTCTTTTACATTTGCTGAGGAGTGCTTTACTTCCATCTATGTGGTCAATTTTGGAATAAGTGCAATGTGGTGCTGAGAAGAATGTATATTCTGTTGATTTGGGGTGGTGAGTTCTGTAGATGTCTATTAAGTTCACTTGATGCAGAGCTGAGTTCAATTCCTGGACACCTTGTTAACTTTCTGTCTTGTTGATCTGTCTAATGTTGACAGTGGGGTGTTAAAGTCTCCCATTATTATTGTATGGGAGTCTAAGTCTCTTTGTAAGTCTCTAAGGACTTGCTTTATGAATCTGGGTACTCCTGTATTGGGTGCATATATATTTAGGATAGTTAGCTCTTCCTGATGAATTAATCCCTTTACCATTATGTAATGGCCTTCTTTGTCTCTTTTGATCTTTGATGGTTTAAAGTCTGTTTTATCAGAGACTAGGATTGCAGCCCCTGCTTTTTTTTGTTTTCCATTGCGTGGTAGATCTCCCTCCATCCCTTTATTTTGAGCCTATGTATGTCTCTGCACGTGAGATGGGTCTCCTGAATACAGCAAACTGATGGGTCTTGACTCTTTATCTGATTTGCCAATCTGTGTCTTTTAATTGAACCATTTAGTCCATTTACATTTAAGGTTAATATCATTATGTGTGAACTTGATCCTGTCATTACGATATTAGCTGGTTATTTTGCTCACTAGTTGATGCAGTTTCTTCCCAGCATTGATGGTCTTTACATTTTGACATGTTTTTGCAGTGGCTGGTACCTGTTGTTCCTTTCCATGTTTAGTAATTCCTTCAGGATCTCTTGTAGGGCAGGCCTGGTGGTGACAAAATCTCTAAGCATTTGCTTATCTGTAAAGGATTTCATTTGTCCTTCACTTATGAAACTTAGTTTGGCTGTATATGAAATTCTGGGTTGAAAATTCTTTTCTTTAAGAATGTTGAATATTGGCTCCCACTCTCTTCTGGCTTGGAGAGTTTCTGCCGAGAGATCTGCTGTTAGTCTGATGGGCTTCCCTTTGTGTGTAACCCGACCTTTCTCTCTGGCTGCCCTTAACATTTTTTCCTTCATTTCAACTGTGGTGAATCTGACAATTGTGTGTCTTGCAGTTGAAGAGCTACCAATTTATATTCTTTATAAACAAATATATCAAAATTCTTAACAAAATTATACCAAATTGAATTTAATACAACTAAAAAGATGATTTGCATCTTGATCAACCAGGTTGATTCCAGGAATGTAAGTATAGTTTAACATTCAGTACTCAAGCAATATAATTTGCTGTATTAACAAACCAAAAAAGAAAAACTATATGATTGTCTCAATAGATGCAGAAAAGGCACTCTACAAATTGCAAAAGCCATTTCTGGTTAAAAAAAAAAAAATCTCAGCTAACTAGGGGAGAGAAGGAACCAATCTCATTTATTAAACAGAAAAACAAAACGAACACAACAAAAAAACCCACAGCTGACGTCATGCTTAGCAGTAAAAAACTAGATATTTTTCCCTAAGATCAAGAACCTAACATGTCTACTGCCAGCACTTCTATTCAACATTGAACTACAGTTTCTAGACAGAAAATTTAGCTAAGAAAAAGAAGTAAAAGGAATCTAGATTGTAAATGAGAAGTAAACTGTGTTTGCACACAACATGGTCATCTATGTAGAAAATCTGATGGAATATCTAAAAAGGCTATAAGAATAAGTGAGTTTAGCTGAGCTGTAGGAAATAAGATTAATATGCAATAATTAATCAACTCTATATATTAACAACAAATAGTCGGAAGTTGAAATTTTAAAAGCACTATTTAAAATAGCATCAAAATAAAATATTCCTAGTGATAAATCTGACAAAATGTACTGGATATGAACACAGAAACTATACAACATTGTTCAGAGAAACAAAACAGATCAACAGTATTTGTGATCAAACATAATACGGAATTATTAAGATATCAATTCTCCCAAATTTATTGATAGATGGAATGCAATTCCAATCAAAATCACAGCAGGCTTTTGTGTGTGTAAATAAACATTTTTTTGTGTAAAATTTATATGGACATGCAAAAGACTTTGAATAGCAAAAGTAATTGTGAAAAAAACAGAGAAATGACTCAGTGGCAGAGGAGGCCCAATGATGAATACGGTTGGTAAACGGGAGTGCCTGGACTTCTACCCTTCTCTATTCTTCGTTACAGTATCAACAAGTCACCAGACTATGTGGGTGGATTCAGCTGTGCCTTTTTCCATATGCAAAGAACTATCAATGCAGAATTCTTGATGATGTGTAGAGGTTCTGGCTTGTTTATCATGTAGAATCCCACTGGGTTTTAGTGAAACAGCCAAAAATGATGGATAATTCCCTTCTCTTTCTTGAAGAAGTTAAAACTCAGTAAATGTTACTATTGACCTCCTCTTCCTGGAAAAAGGCACAGACAAGTTGTCTAGCACTCACAGCAGACCTAAGCAATTCCTAAACCATAGCTAGGTGGGCAACAATAGTGTTTTCTACCAATGCAGCAAGACAGAAAAGAAAGATAACAAATGTTTACTTTTGGAAGGAAAGACAAAAGTATCATTTTATAAAGATCATATAACTGTATACTGTATACTAAGAAAACTGATAAGTTAAACTGAAAACACAAGTTAATACTATTCACAAAGGTAAGTACAGAAAATTGGATAGAAGTTTCAATTAACAAAAATTGATAGCATATACTTGATAAAGAGATTTTGAAATATAACTGGAGCTAAATTGTAAGTAATTACTAAAATAGTATTGTGATTTTACATTGATTAAATATGCCTTATACTAAATGGATAACCAATGTCAGAAAAATTGGTAATTTGGTAATTTAATTGGAAAAAATATTAATTCAGGGGACTTCAGTTCTTCAAATTCCATTCCATATAGGACTATATTTTCCATATTCAGATGAGAGCATTTCTATTAGCACAAAAAGCTCATGAAACTGCAATTGTCCTCCAAAACTAACAGTGTTTTGGGCATCTACGTTAAACCAGTTTTTCTTGCTGTTTTCATAAAAGTTTTTTCCTAATAACTAAGAAATAGATTAATTATGGAAGAAAAGCATACCTTCATTCTCTTTAATTGTGTTAATTAAAGCTAAAAAATAGAAGAAAGTTTCACAGAAAATTTAAATACATTTTAAAGTTTAGATGATATGAAAGTATAAAGGCAAAGTCTCCGAGAAGAGCAGAAAGTCTCTGAACTAGCATCCATTCTCAGCCAGGAACTTACACAGTAAGAGTCTGCCAAGCCCCAGAGGGAGGAAGTTTAATTAGGAAGATGTTTATCTACAGGGAGTAATACTCTGATCATCCCTGGAGCACAGAAAATCTGGAGCTTCTTTTTGTGACTCACCAGAAAGTTAAAGATTTATCAGAAAGACTATGCACCTCTTCAGATAATTATCTTCTTTATAACTAAAACCCATATTTTCTATTTTTAAATTTAAAGAAGAAATAGGAAAAAAATCATTTCCTGCACAAAGAGTTTTCAAATCCAGAGTGTCATAGTTATTAATTTTGGAAGTTGACTTTTGGCTAAATAAAAAGGCTTGTTGAATGATGGCCATCAAATGCAGAATCAACTTTAACAGATGCATTTAGAAAAAATTCTAAGTGTTTAATCATTATATCAAAACATTATCTTCATTCATAAGGACTCTAGAGCCAAGAGTGTGTCTCCTAAGATATCAAACTTGTATTAAGTTCTATTTTAAAAGAGTTTCTTCTGTGGTTTCATCTTTGCAAGAAAAGAAAAATTATACTACTCATCAAGAACTGACATTTTCTTTAAATCTTGAATTTTGCTTCATGATCCAAAACCTAGTTGTAAAATTGGTAAGTAGCAAAAATTGGCAACACTTCAGCATTTTTCATTATTAGATACTTTTTGAGGGGAGGTAATTGCGATGTATTTATGGTCTTAGTTTTGTTTCTCTTCATTTTTCATCAACTTTGGCTAATGAAGCTAGATTATCTTAGTCATGACTTACAGAGCCAACTTTTTGTGGTTCTGTAGAAGACTAAAAATGTTGTGAAACCATAAATCAATGAAGTGCTTTTTCTATAAACCTTAGCATTGCAACTCTGAGTTTCCAACTCAGTTTCAGCTGAATTCCATGATGGAAAAGTCTGCTTCTGTCAGATCCCCCAAAATAAAAATGTATTGCTAATGTATGACAGAAGTATTTTAGAAATTAATGAAGAAATGCTTCTTTTCTCTTCTATCTAGAGGTCCAGGTCTCCAACCACATTTCCCTACATTTCTTCACAAATTTTAATTTATTTTCTCTTGAAAATATAATGTCTGGGACATTGTGTCCATACGTTAAAGAAAAAAAGTAAAACTTTGAGTCTGAGCTTTGAAATAATAGAAATCCTAGAAATAATGGAAACAAAATAAACTTTTTTATTTTTAGAAGGTCAATTGTATTTTTATAATAACTATATTATTATTTTAATTCAGTTCTGAAACTCAAACATCAGAGAAAGTTTAGTCTTTCTTACTACTCAAGCAGGTTCAATTCTTCTTGACTATCTCAAAATGTATTGTGAGATTATTTGATCATACTTTAGAAAGAGAAGGCTTAATTGCCTGAAATTCTGGGGAAGTAAATAATAATAAAAAACGTATAAATAGAAAGAGACATAGAATAAGGGAAGTTAAAGAAAATGACGGTACTGTTCATTATTGTGTTAGTTTGGGGGTCAAAATTTGTATATGACCAGGAAGGTATGATCTAGGGCAGTGGTACCCAACGTTTGTGGCACGAGGGACCAGTTTCTGGTTCAGAGGAAGACAATTTTTGCATGGACTGGGGTGGGGTCTGGGGTGGTGAGGGGGAGGATGTTATATTCTCATAAGGACCACACAACCTAGATTCCTCACATGTGCGGTTCACAATAGGGTTCCCACTCCTATGAGAATCTAACGCCCCTGCTGATGTGACAGGAAGCTGGGCTCAGGTGGTGATGCTCGCTTGCTGGCAGCTCTCCTCATGCTGTGCAACTGGTTCCTAAAAGGCCACCGACCGGTACCAGTCCCTGACCTGGGGTTTGAGGACCCCTGATCTAGGGTAAGACTAAGGAATAGAAGACTGGCTCCACATAATTCTAAACCACTGCCGGAATCCTGCCTTAGTTATGCAGCTGGCCAGAGAGCTCTGAGAAGGCAGGTTTCTCCCATTCTTTCAGCCAGAATGAAGATTGCTTTAGAAATTTGTATTGTAATAGAAATTCTCTAATGATCAAAGAGACCGAATCTGTATGTGTGAAAGTGTTTGTGTGTGTGTGTGTGTATGTGTTGACAGAGAGAGAATGTGTGTGCGCATGTATATCTATATATGTGTGTGTTTGAGAGAAAAAGAGAGAGAGAGATGCTTGAATAAAGGCTTATCCTGGGAAAGAGCTTGCCAGCACCTAAGTGTTGCTAACTTGAGTATATCTTTTTCAATTCTACACAAAATAGGATACAAAATTTGTTCTTCTTTTCAACATTTGGCTGATTTTATGTAAATCTCCTCCTCTTCTGTATACGGCTTATTCTGGTACTGGAATAGGAAAGTGCTATTCCTCTTCAAAGACCCATACTGAAGCAAAAGGAATTTATAAAATATAAAAAATAATTTAACCCCAGTGTTCTCAATCAGAAAAATATAGTTGCCATATTTCATATGAAACATGCTCACAGTAAATGCTGCCTCCCTTCCTTTCTGTAAGAACAGAGCCTCATATATGAGAAGAAATGTCCAACGGCAGCTTCGTGACAGCGTTCATCCTCACGGGCCTTCCCCATGCCCCAGCGCTGGACACCCCACTCTTTGGAGCCTTCCTGGTCATTTATGTGCTCACTGTGCTGGGGAATCTCCTCATCCTGCTGGTGATCAGGGTGGATTCTCACCTCCACACCCCCATGTACTCCCTTCTCACCAACCTGTCCTTCATTGACATGTGGCTCTCCACTGTCACGGTGCCCAAAATGCTGATGACCTTGGCATCTCCAAGTGGCAGGGTTATCTCCTTCCACAGCTGTGTGGCTCAGCTCTATTTCTTTCACTTCCTGGGGAGCACCGAGTGTTTCCTCTACACGGTCATGTCCTATGATCGCTACCTGGCCATCAGTTACCCGCTTAGGTACACCCGCATGATGAGTGGGCGCTCGTGTGCTCTCCTGGCCACTGGCACTTGGCTCAGTGGCTCACTGCACTCTGCTGTCCAGACCATATTGACTTTCCATTTGCCCTACTGTGGACCCAACCGGATCCAGCACTACTTCTGTGACGCACCGCCCATCCTGAAACTGGCCTGTGCAGACACCTCAGTCAACGAGATGGTCATCTTTGTGAACATTGGGGTAGTGGCCTCGGGCTGCTTTCTCCTGATAGTGCTGTCCTATGTGTCCATCGTCTGTTCCATCCTGCGGATCCGCACCTCAGAGGGGAGGTGCAGAGCCTTTCAGACCTGTGCCTCTCACTGTATCGTGGTCCTTTGCTTCTTTGGCCCTGGTCTTTTCATTTACCTGAGGCCAGGCTCCAGGGACGCTGTGGATGGGGTTGTGGCCATTTTCTACACCACGCTGACTCCTCTTTTCAACCCTGTTGTGTACACCCTAAGAAACAAGGAGGTAAAGAAAGCTTTGTTGAAGCTGAAAAATGGGTCAGTATTCTCTCAGGGTAAATAGTCAAGAAAAGTCAGATATGACTAACTTTTATTTTTTTATTTGTAAATAAATTAAACCTTCAATATGAGCATTACATTTGAGTGGAGCATTTCAATTATCCAGTCTTAATTTTTAATTGGACAGTTAATTAATCTTTCATTTTTTTCTGCAGAGTGTTTGTTAGAATCCTAGTTAAAGCAGCCATTTCATGGTGATAATCTAAGAGAAAGGATAATAGTCTATTCTTTTCACGTTCCATTAAGTAATCAGAAAAGTAGTTTATTTTTCTTATATAAATATTTTCCACAATTGCTATTCAGTATAATGTTCTTACAGTTTATTTTGTGTAATTTAAGTCAAAGCCTTATGAAAATCTTTCTTTTCATGTTTTAAATTTTCTATATTGAAAAATTCATTGTAACATTCATAAATAACTACATAATTTAATATCCATATTACAAACTTTTTACTTTAGAAAATACTAGACAAAAATGCTTGGTTCTCAAGAAGAGTGGCTTTATTCACATTTGTGAACCAATAAAAACCACATAACTCTTTAATATTTTTTTCTTACTTAGACCTGAAAGATTTCTGAGAGTAAATATTTGTCCATTTATGAACTGTATACACTGCACACATTGTATTGGTCGCTGATAACAACTGTCTAGACTTTCCTTCCATATTTGTGGAGCTGCCAATCTCTTATCCTCAATGCCAAGTTTCCATTTTTAGCAATTTTAAAATTATTTTTATAAGTTACCAGAGGATAAACAATAAATATACAAAAATGATCAAATAATCTTAGAGACAAAAATATGCAGTCAAAAAATTTGAGAGTATCTCTCAATTTAGAACAAAGTATTAGATAATATTTCCCATGTAATTAGACTATGTCTGTAAGTCACATCCATTAGACTTAAAGTATATGAAATGGACTCTGGACACTCTCTGGGTAGGTAAGTCTCGGACCATGAACCTTATAATCTGTCATCCAAATAAATACATATATTTAAAGTGTAAATAATTTTTCTCAAAATAAATGCTTAATTTAAATACCACAGGTATCCTGGTCATGCCAACTCTGCCTAGCATACCATGAAGAGAAAAAGAAAACTAGAAGGCAGCTGCTAGAGCTGAAAAGCATTTCTCAAACTCCTCAGGTTTGCAGCAGCTGCATTTCAAAGATGCTTTAGCGAGAATGTTCCTTCAGTGCTAACTTTCCATATCTTACTCTAAGTAAACTGTGCAGTGATATTGAGAAGAAAAACATACTAACTTGGTAAGCATAACCTGTATAAATCATGACACAATGATCAATATAAGAGGTATATTCTTGGTTTTCACACCAAGAAATCAGATTGGAATGGACCAATTGTATAATTCAGCTCATTTCTCAAAGGAAAAAACTGAGGTAGGAAAAAAACAAAATTACTTAGTCATTGGATTCACTTGGATTCTTACACTTCTCTGTAACATCACACTGTTATATCTAACCTACGTTTACCTAAAATGTTATGGGATATTTATTGGGTGCTAAGTTACACGCTAAACAGTAGATACACAAAAACAACAGACAAGGTCTCTGCATTCACCAAAGTCATTGTCTGGCAAGGGGGAACATATGTTGCATTATCCAGGTTACAATGTTGTAAGTGCAATGGGTGCCCAAGGAGAGATCCATTATTAGTTTTGGCTTGGAAAGATGCTAAAGGATTCAAAATACTGTAGCAATATGTATCACATACAGCCATTTTGAAAGTAAATTATTGACAAAGCTATATAAGATGAATGTCAATATCTTTATTTAATTGAAAACATTATTGAAATAATTTTAGAATCACACGAAGTTGTAAGAAATAACACAGTGAGAGTCCTTGTTATACCTTGCCCAGTTTCCCCCAATGATAACAGTTAGCAGAATTATAGTGTAATATCACAACTAGGATGTTGACACTAGTATAATCCACAAATCTTATTCAGATTTTTCTAGTTTTACTCACTTGTATGTGTGTGTGTTTGTTAAATACTATACAGTTTTAACACCAGTGTATGTTAATTAATTTTAACCTGGCTCAATCTACCTATTTATCCATTCAATAAATAAATATACACTGAGTGGCTATCGTGTCCTATGTACAATGAGTACAAAACAAAATAAGCAGGCAGAGACCTCCTTTTAAGAAGTTTGTAGTCCCAATATACAAGATGTATAGTCTTCATAAGTTTATGAGTCATAAAAATCAAACAAATCTTGACAAAATTTGTATACAATACTAGGAAGAAGGATTTTTATCTTGCAAGTTCTGGAGAGTTATTGAAATACTGTAATATGATAGTATTTTTATTTCGAGACATAACCAGTGGTAACATGGAAGACAGACGGAAGGAAGGTGAATTTTAGGGCAGCAACTAAAGAGCTTTTTTGACTATATGTCAAGAAAGAAAAACACCAAAGTCCAAGTTCAGACAACAGCAGAGAGAATTGGGAGCAGGGAAAGGGAAGGCAAATAGGAGCCCACTGGGTAAGGAAGCAAAGCTGGTAGAGAAGTTCATGTGATTTGGCCATTGTGATATAACTTATCAAAATAGAGAAAGTAACAAGGATATGTTCTTAGGGTAGAATGAAAGTGTCTGACTTTGGAAATGTTTGGTTTGAGCGCCTGTGGAAGTTTCAGGTAAAATTATTTGGTTGAAGGTGTAGCTTGGGAGAGGCAGAAGCCTACACAGTTAAGTAAGCAAGAGGACTGGTCACTGTATTCCTTGTTTTGTGCTGGCTGTTAAACATCTGTTTCCTAACATGGAGAAGGAAACGTCTCTTATTCAATAGTAGCATGAAGAGAGGTCAAATCAGGGAAAAGTAACCACCACCCCTCCTACATTTCTCGAGTAAGTCCAAGAAAGGAAACCTTCAGGAGTTTTATATAAATCTGTTATTGGACCTTTCCTTACAGTATTATTTCTCACAATAACACTCAAAGACTTTTCTAGAGGTTGTAAATTCAAAGAATTCCAGAGACAGTACTTATAAAAGCAGCTGCTTTTTGATGGCATGGTCATGAAAGATAGCAAAGGATGAAAGGGCCACCACTGTTGCTCTTTCAGTTCCCTGATGCTATTGAACTCCTTTAATAGGTTAGATCTTAATAGCATTGAGGGGATACTAGAAGGAAATTAAAAGAAAATCAAGTGTCAAAAGGATTAAGTTAAATAATAAAAGGGCCGCTAGAGGATTTGGGAAATAAAGGTGCACACTGAAGGCACATGGTGCACATAGTAGGCACAGAAGCATAAAACCTGTGTGTTTAAAGACGAAGATAATATGTGGACGAGTGGAACAGAATATGGAGTCCAGAAAGAGACCTACGCATAGCAGTCTGTTGACTTTTAGCCAAAGTGCCAAGGCATTTTGAAGAAAAAAGTGTGATACTTTCAACAAATTATGCCTAAAAGTCTGTCTATCCCTGAGTAAGAACCAAACTTTGAATCAATTACTTCACTTTATATACAAAAATTAACTTAAATGATATTATTGACCTAGATGTGAAAGCGAAAACTATTATATTTCTAGGACAAAAAAGTAGGAGAGAAGCTTTCGTAAACTTGGGGTCGATATAGATTTCTCAAGGAGGACAGAAAACATGAACCATAGAAATAAGTCAGAAGTTGGACTTTAGCAAAATTAGAAATTTGTGCTCTTCCAGTGATATTAATAAGTAAATGAGTAAGCAAAAAACATACTAGATATAAATATTTGTAATGCATATATCCAATAAAGAACTGAATAAAAAAATTGTAAAGATATACCACAATTTAATAATTAAAAACAACCCAATGAGAAATGGGCAGAAGATCTGAACACATGCTTCTCCAAGAAGGACATTTGAATCACCACCAGGAAGATGAAAAATTGCTCAACATTATTAACCATTACTGAAATATAAATTCACACAATAAGACTACACACATATAATCAAATGGCCAAAATTTAAAAACCTAAAGTCAATATTATTGAGAATGTGGATCAATAAGAACTTTTATGCATTTCTAGTAAATATATAACATGGTACAGCCAGTTTGGAGAAAACTCGATTTTTTAAAATATTAAATACACATTTGTCATTCAACTTATCATTCAACTTTAAAAATCTATTTTTTAATGTTTAAACCCAAGAGAGTTTAAATCATATGCCTAACAAATTTTTTAATGTTTGAACCCAAATTTTTTAATGTTTAAACCCAAGAGAGTTTAAATCATATGCCTAACAAATATTTGCAAATGAATCTATGTAGCAGTTTTATTAATAATATCCCCAAACTGGAAGCAATAGGTAATAGATTATGGCATATTTCCATTACTGATACACACAAATGCATAAATAAATAAAAAAATTAGGATAAACAAAACAAGTCAGACACAAGACAGTGTATACTGTAGGATCCCATTCATAGGAAACTCTAAAACGGACAAATCTAATCCATAGTGAGAGAAAGCAGATCAGTAGCTATCTGGGGCTTCAGGTAACAGAGGACTGATGAGAAGGGACACGGCGGATTATATGTGGTACTGGAAAGGTTTTTACCTTGACTGTGGTGGTAGATACACAGGTACTTCCATTTGTTAAAACATACCAGACTGTGCACCTAAAATGGTTACAAATTATACCTCAATAACGTTTTGCATTTTAAAAACAAATTCTTTCCCAATAAAGTTTTTAAAAGCAGGCAAAAAGTCAAACTACAAATTAAAAACAAAAAAGAGAAACTTATTTCTGAAGAGCCATGACAAAATAGCTGGTACAGACCTAACCTCCCTTTAAAACTGTATAAAACGTAGTCACACAGTATACAAATTACTAAAAGATATTCTAAAATTGAATAAAATAATCCTAGATAAAAGGATAGAAGTGCAAAATAAATCAGTCCATAAATACCACAAGAAAAGGTGAATACATACATAAACATACGAGAAGACCTTTGACTGTTGAAAGCCCCAACAGTAACATCTTGTCTGGTTTATAACATTGTTAGAAATTAAATAAAGGACAAAAGTATTTCTAAAAATATGTAT